CCCAGAGGGAAGCGGTCTTTTCGGCCGACGTCCAGCGGCGCGCAAGGAAGCAGGCGCAGCGGAGGCGGCCTAGCACCGGCTCGGCGCCGGGCGGCTGCGCTGCCCGCGAGCCGCGTCCTGAGCCTCGGCAGCGCGCTGCGCGGCGCGGCGCTCGCGCTGCTTCTGTGCCGAGAGCGGCATGATTCGCCAGCTGAAGCTCCAGACTGCTCGGGTCCGCGAGTTGCACGAGCACAATTGCGTTACATGGGCATGGCCGGGGTTTCTGCACCGAACGATCTTACTTTCGGTCTATCGAAAGTGTTGATCGATAACCTCGCGTTCTCCACATACTTTCTTGCTCCGCGCGCATTTATTTACATTTGCCTCAAAACGCACCGGTGCGCCGTCGACTGACGGCTCCCCCGGGAGACACCGCGCGCCCTTCCCCCCTCCCAAGGTGTTCTCTCGAGAGCCACTCTCCCCCCCGCTCCCCCCCCCCCCCCCGGCCCCTCGGGCCCAACTTCCGGTCCCGCCCCGGAAGAAATCCGGCGGGGACGGCAGCCTCCCCCGCCGCCGCCGACTCAAAATGAGATAGGTCGCGGCTCGGTTCTCGCACAGAGAACATGTGCTCCACGGGTGCTCTCGCTAAGAGTGCCGCCTCTCACGCCGCGCCGGGCAGCGGGGAGGGGAGGGGGAGCCCGAGCCGCTCGGCGGTCTGCCGCGCCTCCTCCAGCGAGATCCACTCCACTCCCTTCCCGTCACGCATCCGCCCCGCTCCCTGCCCGTCCGCCATCCACTGCACGCCCTCGCCGACGGGGGCACCCTGCTTGTAGAAGCTCGACATCACGTTGCCGTCGGCCCACCGGTAGACGCCGCACCCCTCCTTCTTATCCGCCTTCCACTCGCCGTCGTACACGCCGCCGTCGGCGTACCGGTAGACGCCGCGCCCCTCCTTCTTATCCGCCTTGTACTCGCCCTCGTACAACTCTCCGTCGGCGTAACGGTAGACGCCGCGCCCCTCTATCGTATCCGCCTTGAACTCGCCGTCGTAGACGTTGCCGTTGGCGAACCGGAAGACGCCGCGCCCCTCGTACTTACCCGCCTTCCACTCGCCGTCGTAGACGTCGCCGTCGGCGTACCGCATGACGCCGCGCCCCTCGTACTGACCCGCCTTCCACTCGCCCTCGTAGACGTTGCCGTTGGCGAACCGCGCGACGCCGCGCCCCTCGCGCTCACCCGCCGCGTTGTACTCGCCCTCGTACTCCCCCTCCTGCGCCTCGCCCGAGGCAAGCATCGCGTTGTTCACCTTGACAGCGTAGTCACGGTACAGCTGGACGACGACCGGCTTGTCGCCCTTGCCCGTGAAGGAGGCCGCCTCGATCGCGGCGATCACGCGCTTGTTACGCGGCCCCATCCCCTCGTCGGCGCGGTCCTCCATCTCCGCCACACGGGGCCCCGCGCCGTCGATCTCGACGACCTTGGGCTGCAGCCGCTCTTCCAGCAGCTTGCCCAGCCCTGGGAAGTAGGCGAGGCGCGCGAGCGCCTCGGTGCTCACGGCGCTCTCAAACGTCGTCCACCTGCCAGGGGGGGGGGGGGGGGGGGCTTGATTTGGTGAATGGGTATAGGGGTGGAGTGGGGTGGATTGGTGGGTTGGGGGGGAACCTCTAAAAGCGGGGTTGG